ATTTTCAAAAACATAAAAAATGAAGCTCAGATTTATAAATGTATTCATTTAAATATGTTTCAGAAATGTTCTCTCTGTAATGGCACAAGATGAGCTAAAACCAGCTTGAGAACTGAGCGGGAACTCACCGAAGGGAAGGCTATTTCAGCTGCTGCCTGTTCTCAGTATTCTCTTTTGCCCCGTTTTTCACTCTCCATAAGTTTAAAGGGTAATCCAGACGTGGACCCTTTGCTCACGGTGCCTAGAGAGATATCAACTATGCCTCACTGATGATGCCTAACAAGGCTGAAACGATCGTCTGGGGTTGCTGGGTCTCTCATGCACAGGGAACTTGCTGGCATTTTGGATCTGGACTGCCCTTATGGGTGGGACCAGTCTGATATGTTTCAGAGATGTTCTCTCTGTAATGGCACAGGATGAGCTAAAACCAGCTTGAGAACTGAGCGGGAACCCACTGAAGGGCAGGCTATTTCAGCTGCTGCCTGTTCTCAGTATTCTCTTGCGCCCCGTTTTTTGCTCTCCACAAAAAGGAGGTTTACCTTAAAACTGATAGGGATTAGATGTTACAATCAAGACATGGCAAAGGTAGCACAGAAGATATGAGCAGGATACCCTCTAGATTGTAAGCTCAATTAAGCATTGTCCTCGTCAACCTATTGTTTCTGTAGTATTTTGTAATTGTCTCATTTATTGTTAAATGTTCTCCTTTATAATATTGGGAAGTGCTGCAGAATAAGTTATCGCTATATAAATGCCAATCCTATGATGAAGGACCAATTGATCTGAAATTCGTAAGGAGTTGTTATTTTTGATCTTTTTTCCACTGTGTGATATGCCTGCAAATAAATCTACTTTCTCCCTTTTCATTGTGGTTGGTGCTGTTTTTGGCATTCCTGTCAATTGATCTTTAGTTGCATATAAATGCTAATAATAATAATAATAATAATAATAACACCCTTTGTGAGCAACTTTCTTATTTATAAGTTTTATTGGCTTTTTGAAGAGTAAGAAATAGAAGGACAAGTCCACCATGTCAAACACCCCATTTTCTGCATCAAATGATAGTAATAAATATGTTGAAAGAACAAAGCAAAGTAGACTGACAATTTCAGATGTATTACCTTTAGCATCTCTGTATCTAAAACCCAATTAATCAGAGTAAACTAAACCCAGAAGAAGTTATAGATGAAGAGCAAGGATTTTAGCAACTATTTTAGGTCAATTTTAATTAACAAATTAGGTCTATCAGTAGTGGAACTAATGTAGAGAGGGCCCTGGTGCAAGAAGTTTTTTTTTGTTCTCCTCTAGCACACGGGTGGCTAAAAGGTAAATTCACATATGTTGTACACCTCCCACAATGCTGATGATTGACCATTTGCCCATCCTTAAATGGTTGTATTTGTGAGCAGTGTTTGTGTTTGAATGTAACCATGTTTTTGTACGGAGTGTGTGGGTACATGTAGTGGTTTATTTGTGTGTCCCGTTGCCATTGGAATGTAGTGGTGCACTTCTGTGTAATGTTTGCATTTGAATGCAAGGGTGTACTTGTGTGTAGTGTTGGCTTTTAAATTCATGTGTACCTTTGTGTGTGGTGTTGATGTTTGCGTTTGAATGCAAGAGTGTGTTTGTATGTAGCTTTGGAGTTTGATTGCTGGGATGTATGCACAGATACACATACACTGCTACATACATACACAGATACACATACATATTGACACACACAGTTAGATACACACTGACACATACATACTTAGATACACACATATACATACAAGGAAAAGGAGATGTGAGCATCAGTAGTTATTGCAGCATAACAAGGCTGAAAAAATCCAACTACCTCCATATGTAATGGACTACATCTGAGGCTATTCTGAGGCTGAATACTACTAATAGTGTTGGTGGTGGCAGTGGTGGCAATGATAGAGGAGATGTCATAAACCCTGGTGGCTCATGAAGAGATGTTCAAATTCTTAAAGATGATGACACTACTGCTGATGATGGGTTTAAGAAACATGACCCTTCCTCAATTTCTTCTTGGGATCAGGATGTAACATTGATTATGGTGGGCTAGCTTTACTTAATACAATAAATGAGGCATATGAATGATTATGTATTATGTGAAGTAACACAGCATTATTAAGCAAAAATAGGTGTTTGTGTGGCAAATGGGTTGGTGCTTGGTGGGTTTAGTACTGTGCCATTATTGACTTTAAGAAATGCTACACTCCACACAGAGCACTGCACAGTGCTCACACACTTGCAGAACACACTACACTGAACACCTCAGATAAAAAAAAAATATTTATCTGTTAACACTTAACTAAAATTAAAAAACCTGTCAAGCTTTTAAATGGTGATTCCAAGTTGGTGTTAACAGGCAGAGGATAGATCTGCAACACCACAACAGTGTAACATTAGGATGAATTAAGAAGGCAAGCTCTACTCAAAGTTAATGTAAATGCTAATACAGGAGTACAGGAAAAAAAAAATTTCTCTTTTTAGTGAACAACACCACTTCAGGACAAAATATATCCAATACCAGTGGGGTTTCTGTTTAAGCTTTTAATTACCCACAACAGAGTGACTAGAGTGGCAACCTCACCCCAGGAAGGCCTAAAGCTGCTTCTTCAATGTGACATAGTGTACAAGCTAACTGGATTTCCTGCATCTCTGACCAACAAGTCATCGAGGACACAGCCTCACTGCCAACCCCATGGAAGGAGCTCATCCCCCTCTCCTCACAAATGGAATCTAATCTAAGGAACTTCCATGCAGAAGTATCCTGCCATGCAAAAATATCCTTCCATTACAAATTCCATTTGACAATACACCCCAGGGCTTTCTATAAAAACACATAACTTACCTGCATCTAAGGACATGGCAAGAGTGAGGGCTACATACCTTAGGTGATATTAGCACACAGGTGGTGCTGCAGCCTAATCCATAAACTTGCCTGGGCCAGAGGGAGTGTTTCAATTGGTTATCTCACGTTCTTGAACCTAACATTGCCTGGGCACTGCTGTATGAAGCAAGATGAGAAGAGGATCTGTGCAGGATAAAATCAAGTAGTGTAAATTGTCTGTATCCCTATTACGTGGGTTTACCCACTGCACTTTACATCTTTAATTATTGTATAAATAATCATGTGTTGGTGTATGGTGCCTGCATGACTCAAATATATGTTTAGCTCAGCTACTGATGCTTGTTGGAAGAGGTTGTGGCAACTAAAGGCACAAACCTTCATGTATGGTGGGACTGCCCTTTTTGAGGACTTTTTGAGGAAATATTTTTAATCAGCTTAAAAATTATCTTGTACCATCCTACATCCAGATCCGGGTCTGGCCTTGCTGCACCTGTTCCCACTTCCCTTTCCACAATCATTAAGACAAAATAATGTGAAAAACTTTTAAAGTTTGGACTCTCTGGGACACACTATCCTCACAAATAGCTAACACATGATGAAAACCCTCACTTTCTTGACTCAGCGCTCAGACTAGACATTTGTTACTTGATATTTGTTACTTAGTTACATATATAATGTCTAGTTTCTACTCTGTAACTACTAATTCTGCATTTATTATTTTTCTAATAGGAAAATAATGTGAACAGCTATTTAACATGTATATCAACACTGCAGTTTCTCACACTTTCCTTCATATTAAATTATATTACCTTCAATAGATCGAGGGATAGTGCCAACTCAATCTTCCCATGTCATATTGCACAGCCGTGCAGGCACCCCAATCATACCACCCACATCCGTCCATAAAAGAGTACCAGATCATCAGCAGCCCACTCAGAAAAGCAAATATTATCCTCACTTAGGTGGGTTGTGGTTTTCAGTGCCACATGACCCTGCCACTAACACTCCCTATTCCCTACCCATTCACTGCCTTTCCTCCTGTAACTTTACGGCCCACGCAACTGGTTGTCCAGATATTCTCAGTTCATGGTCGCATTTGGCCTGGGGTGCCATCATTCTGCCCCAACCATAAACTTATTAATTAAGCCGTGACAGCCGCCATGGCACAAGGTCATGAACCTCGCCAACATAGTAAACTGGCCTTGTCCACCAGCACTCAACACGCTTGCTACAGATGTTTCATACTTGGATAGCTGGTTTGAGGTTTCACCACCTATGGCCTTCGCCTATTTTTGCCTTAATAATTCTCGCACAACATGGTTAAACTTTATCTCACGGGCATTCAACACTATACGTATTTCTTTCCTATCCTCCTACCCCAGCCATACCTTACTTAGAGACATGGCCAAGCGGACGTTCCCGCTAACACTAAATACTGGCCATAGACATACAATTGACCATGCACTTCCGAGCCACACCTATCTAACCTTTAACGGCTTTCTCAGGCCAAATCAGCGGCCAAGTGCCTGTTGACCTCTTATCTTCTAAAACACGCAGACCACTATGTCAAAACTAAGATGAGTCAGAGGGCCGAGCCAGTGCATATAACCTACTACCTTACAAGCAATGCTAAGGTACTGATTACGTTTTTGGGCACGCCACCATACACGCCACTGAACCAATACTGTCGCTGTACGATACTGTCCTTACCACAGTTCATGCACTATGTCCACTTACTCATTCACCGGGCTCGAACTAAACCCTAGTGACTACTTTAGGATAGGAGCAGCTTACACAGCCTATAGCCAAGACATACTCGCACACGTTAAGACACGGGGCCGTTGGGAATCACAGGCTATCACGCGATTATAATACCATAGCCCCATTCAGGAATTAGGATGCTTTCATAACCTATAAAAGGGACTGTTACCTTTGTTGGTCAGATGAATAGCCCCACCCTCCACTCCCATTGTTCATATTTCCTCTATGTAAGCCCACTTTTTACCGGCCTAAAGCATACGTCGGTTTCGGCACACCTCAACCGATTATTCCTAAAGCTACATCTCTACAACCCATCTTATTCTATATCATATGAGAATGCCCCGAACACAAATATATATATATATATATATATATATATATATGTAAATGAAGTAAAAACAGGAGCACTCTCTCAGTTTTCCAAGTGTATTTCAAAAGTTATCACCACCTATACATCAACGTCTTTATCAAAATCGAACAGTCGAAACATTGATGTATAGGTGGTGATAACTTTTGAAATACACTTGGAAACCGAGAGAGTGCTCCTGTTTTTACTTCGCCTGTATACCATGCTGGGAAGCACCCGGGTATAGTTAATTAATTTGTTTATATTTTTGGGTTTGAGTGCCAGAGCCTGAACATATACATACATATATATATATATATATATATATATATATATATATATATATATATATATATATATATATATATATATATATATATATATATATATACACACGCACACATGCGCGCACATTTACACACAGATACATATTTATAACATTTATTTATTTATTTTTTAATACTTGCCAATTGATGTATTTTTTTAATCCTTTTTCTTTCGGCCCAAAAGAAACCAAAGAAAAATCCATCATCTTGTCTGGTAAAGTGTATAGATATACGCAGCATATACATATGTACACATTACCAGGCAAGTCTCGTAACAGGTAAAACTTGCACAATTTGTTGGGTTCCATGTCAACCAAACACAGTGTTGTACCTGACATCAGTGGCGTACCTCCCACGGTCGCAGGGGTCACAGCTGCGACCGGGCAAATCACTGCAGGGGGCACATCCACAGCCAGGACCCCTGCGACCGTGGGCCGCCTAGATGCCATCCCCTCCGTGTTCCCCCTGTCATAGGGGACCCAAGAGGTGGCCCACTGGCCACCTAATGGACCCCCCAGCGGGTGGCAGAGTTCCTGTGAGACGCGGCGAGGAAGCTGTGTTCTCTCTGCTCCCTCGCGCGCCATTTGCTGATGCCGGGAGCCGGAATATGAAGTCATATTCTGGATCCCAGCATCAGTAAACAACCCATGAGGGAGCAGAGCAGAAAGAACACAGCTCCCTCGCCGCGTCTCACAGGAACTCTGCCGCCAGCCGCACTGAAGCCCCGCTGGACTCCAGAGACAGATCCACACCAGCTCTCCAGGTAGGGATGCTGGGTGGACATTTAATATTAATAAATTGTGTGTGTCTGTAAGTGTATGTGTGTATGTGTGTGCCTGAATGTGTGTGCCTGAATGTGTGTGCCTGAATGTGTGTGTCTGAATGTGTGTGTATGTGTTTGTCTGTGAGTGTGTGTGTCTGAGTGTATGTGTTTGTCTGTAAGTGTATGTGTGTCTGAGTGTGTGTGTGTCTGTAAGTGTATGTGTGTCTCAGTGTCTGTATGTTTGTGTCTCTCAGTGTGTGTCTGTGAGTGTATGTGTCTGTAAGTGTACGTGTGTATATGTCTGAGTGTGTTTATATGAGTGTATGTTTGTGTGTCTCTACATGTGTCTGTGAGTGTATGTATGTCTGTATGTATGGGTCTTTGTGTGTATGTGTGTTTGTGTCTGTATGTATGTGTTTGCATGTGTATCTGTCTGCATATGTGGGGGGCGTGAACATGTTGGGCCATTAGAATCAGTGACAAAAGAAGGTGTTGCAGATCTTGAAGTGGAGTCAAATTATGAAATTAACCTATCTACTGAAGAATATACACTTGAACATAAGTCTGCCACAATGCTATCTGGACTGGAGAGGTCACCATTAAAAGATTACTTTCTATTTTCACATATCTGGAATAAAGCTGAAATTAATATGGGAATGTTTTGGGACTTCCATCCTAATCAGACCACAAACAAATTCAGGCACATCTTAAACAGTTAATAAAAGTGCAACTCTAGATTTTTTGCAAAAGTAAAATTATTATTTACATTATCTACATTATTTACATTGCTTATATTCTGATTCCCTAGTGTACTTATCTACTCTATTTTACACATATAAATTGTGTAAACTGTAAAAACAAATATATATGTATATATATAAATATATTTCCTGGCTAATCATGGCAGCATTTGGTTTTGATCCCTTAGGTTAAATGTTGTAGCCAGGAAAAGAAAATTATGGTAAGCATGATTACATTTTCCTTAATAAATTACCTGAGCAGATACAGATTCTAAATCAACTTACATGACTATCAGTTTCTTTACCCCTCTCCAAATGTTCATGCTACAGCAATGATCAAATTCTAATTTTATTGAGTACAAAGTCAAAATCAATAGAGTTCTCTTTGTACTGGCCAGTGGAAAATTCATAGTTCTAGATGAAAAAAATAAATAAAAATAAAATGCTAAATTAATAATAATAATAATATTATTAATAATAATAATAAATATAAATATATTCTTTAATGTATAGTATCCAGACTGGGACCAAAAAGTCACACAGACCACATGAATCTCAAACAGAATATATGAAACAGAGTCGTCAGTAAAGCAAAAATTGTTGCAAAATAAATAGTTTTATTGACAAATCGAAGGACTATAGAGGAATAAGTTCAATAATAAAAATCAAAGAGGAATATGAAATCTCCTAATGCTTTTCTGACTGGATGTGACACTTAGACATAGCCTAAACTAGTAACTTAAAGGTCATCTGATGCTTTCACTGCAGTAGTCACTAACTTACATACAGGTGGATGACTGTATTTGGGATCTAGCATTTACAGGTTTTTGTTTTTTTTAGTTCGGGCTTTAGAAGAAAAATGTGTGCCAATTGGCCCTGGAGAACTCTTAGTATTGATAGAGAGTTAGCTCCCATATATTTTATATTTGTATACTGGTATTTTTCATTTTACAAAATGTATCATTTCCACTTATTGAATTGCTAGCATAATGTTTTATCTGCAAGGCATATCTTTCATTATGTGTTTTTCTGTAACCTTTAAAAACACTACTATAAAGCAAAGTCCTTTGCCTCAACACATATATGTTGGAATAAAGACATATGACTCTCAGTTTCATTAAAGTTACACCTCTATTCCTCTTGCATTATTATTATTATTGCCATTTATATAGTGCCAACAGCTTCTGTAGCGCTTTACAATATTATGAGAGGGGGGATTTAACTATAAATAGGACAATTACAAGACAACTTACAGGAACGATACACAAATTTACAAAGTACTCTGTGTTAACAGGCGCCTGAAGCAGATTTCAACAAGTGCTCTTAAACAGCAGCTCTCACACAGAAATAGGAACTCTCCAATCCTACTATGGTTCAATCAAATAGACACACTATTTACACAACCAGTATGCAATAGTGAAAGTGTGTAGCGCTAAATAATAGTCACTTACTCCCCAAAATTCCTTAGGGGTGTAAAAAGGTGCTTGGGTAGTCTTGTATCCAAGTGCAGTATATTCCTGAAAAACAAAAGGAACAAAACAGGGAAAACTCGCCCTTGTGTTGAAATCCTTATGGTAACAATATACAATTTACAGGTAAAGGTGAAGGTTGCTTCTCACCTGGGTGAGAGCCTATGACCTGGCTCTGAGTATATGAGCATATGAGTCCTTTTTGGGGGATGACTCATTCCCTCTTTCATCAGGATAAAAGGTATACCAGATGTATGCAATCCAATAAAAACAAATTTATTACATAAACATATAAAAAAATCAATATGATACATACAACATACTGATGATTGTCCAAAACGCGTTTCGCCGATTCCTTTCGGCTTTCTCAATTGGTGACTTTCATCCTGCTCCGTTCCGATTATAATCCCCACCTCTCGTCCAGATTGTTGGCAAGGGTTCATGTTCCAACCAATCTCCGGCGTTCCTGTGAGGGAGGGTGTAAATTTCCAGCTGAACTGCTTTATCCATTATTAGTGACGTCATCACGCACGTAAATACAATCGGGCGTGTGACGTCACTTCCGGGAATTTGAGAGGCTAGTATTCGTCCTACTAGCTTGCAACGTCCCGTCCAGGTCACGCAGGGTTCAGTCGATGTAATTTCCCGTGGTACAAATTCGCTACCAAGTTCCTTAATCCATAGAAGGTAGTTCCGCCATTTCGCTTGAGGGCAATTCAGAGGTGGACCCCATGCTCACTATGACTAAAGGGTTTGCAGCTGCACCTCACTGACAAGGCCCAAAAAATGTAGAAAATATTGTTTGGGGTTGCTGTATCTCTCATGCAAAGAGAACTTGCTGGCATTTTAGTTCTGCACTGCCCTTACAGGTGGGATTAGTCTGACATGCTTCAGATATGTTCTCTCTGTAATGGCACAAGTGAGCAAAACCTATTTTAAGACCTGAACGGGGATTTATTGAATGGCAAGCTACTGAGTTTCTCTAAGCTTTTGTCCATTCTCAGAGTTCTCATATTCTTTGTGTTTGTGACACACCCCAACCATTGCCTATATGTGTCAAAATAATAATAATAATAAAAATGTGTCTACCTAATTCTGTAATAGGCCTAACTCGCACCCACCCAGTTTTCTTCTTCTTTTGTGTTGTTGCAGCATATTGGTAAAGAGCCACAGTTCAGGTGAGATTATAACAGAGCTGAAAAAAACAAGAGCTTGGTAGAAGGGGCTCAGGTATGTGTGAATGTGCCAATTAGGGGGATAATAAAGGGGAACACCTCTGTAAATTGTATGCACTATGTATATATGTTTTCTTTTATATATTGTGGATATTGGAATTGTACTGGTTTAAGCATTATTGAAACATAGAAACATAGAACGTGATGGCAGATAAGAACCATTTGGTCAAATTTTCTAAATACTTTCATTAGTTCGGTAATCTAAGACTATGTCCTCTTGTTGTAGTAGTTTTTCTTCTTTTAAATATAGTCTCCTCCTTTATGTATTTAAATGTTTCTATCATATCCCTCTTGTCCCCCTTACTTTTATTTTTGTACGTACAAGTGCACTAAGGCACCTTATATTTACACTTCAATTTCAAGCACATTACTGTATTATTCTGGTTTGTGTTAATTAGATTTGAGAACTTTTTGTGTGGAGTGTATGCAGCTGAATGATTTGTGTGCATTTCACAAATCTTTCAAGTACCTCGCACTTTTGTTGGTGTAGGAGTTTGGCACCATGCCATCTAAAGACTTCCACTGATAGGGGATAAGGATTATACAATATTATGGTCCACAAGCTTACACTACACAAAATGTAAAGAGGAGAGAAGAGACACAGAACGGGATTGTAAAAGGGAGTAAGAGATACAATAAAGGTGTAAGAGACAAAATAGTGGGTGTAAGAGACACACAAATGGCATAAGATATG